CAGCCCCCGCCGCCCCCCAGCCATACTCACATCAGGTTGAAGAGTCCTTCCAGATCTGCAGCCCCAGGTAAGGACCCGTCCCGGCACATGGACCCCTGCCCGCCCCTGGGGACGTCCCGCATGGCGGCCAGGCTGGCACCAGGGCACCCGGGATGGGAGGCCATCGCACCGGGCACCGGGGATGGACCAGGGTGGGGAGACAACACCGATAAACGGGTGTTCGGTGGGTCTGGAGGGGCCGGCGTTAAGCCCTGCCCTGGGGGATTTGGCGGCCCGGTTCAACCCTTCGGCCTCGAACGCCGACGCCGCTCTGTGCCGTAGCCGACTCAGCTGTGCCGGGGATGCCAGCAAGGCCGCGGATCTGCTGCCATCTGCAGGCAACGGGCCCGGAGGGTCCCTGCTTATGCTTGAGGGACCCCATTTGCACCCAAGGGACCCCGTTTGCACCCAAGGGACCCCGTTTGCACCCAAGGGACCCCTGTCCCAGCCCCGCAGGCGGTGGGATACTGAATGACTTGCAGACGACGGTCTCCAGGTCGTAGAGGCAGCTGCAGACCTCGCGGGGGTCCGAGGTGAACCCTGAGAGCTGAGAGGAGCCGGGGTGAGGGGGGCACGGAGCCGTCCCTGTCCCCGTCCCCATCCCCGTGGCCCCGCTCACCCACGTGGCGTCGTTGTTCACCACCACCAGCGCGAATTCGTGGCACTTGTCGATCTTGTGCTTCGTCCGCACGAACATCTCGATCATCTTCTGGGAGATGTTCAGCGCGTTGGTCTTGGACCTGCCGCGGGGGCCGGAGCTCAGCGGGACCAGCATCGCCCCGGGCCCCAACCGCACCGGTCCCCGCGCCGGCTCGGGATGGCAGAGCCGGGGTCCACGGGGGTTCCAGGTCCCCCAACACTCACCCGTTGAAGGACTCCAGTTTGGGCAGCGCCATCTCCTCGGCCAGGTCCAGGCAGATGATCTGGGGGAGACAGCCGGGGCTGAGCCGCCACAGCCCCTCGCCCTGGCGTCGGGGCTGCGCCGCACTCCCTGCGGACACTCACCACCTTCTCGGGGCAGTTCACCCGCGGCGTCTTGACCTGCACCTGCACCCCAAATATCCATGCACCCCCTGCTGCACCCATGCACTACCCCCTGCACCCCAAACACCGCACCCCAAAAACCCATGCACCTCCTGCTGCACCCATGCACCATCCTTCTGCACCCCAAATATCCATGCACACCCCCTGCACCCCAAATATCCATGCACCCCCTGCTGCACCCATGCACTACCCCCTGCACCCCAAACACCGCACCCCAAAAACCCATGCACCTCCTGCTGCACCCATGCACCATCCTTCTGCACCCCAAATATCCATGCACACCCCCTGCACCCCAAATATCCATGCACCCCCTGCTGCACCCATGCACTACCCCCTGCACCCCAAACACCGCACCCCAAAAACCCATGCACCTCCTGCTGCACCCATGCACCATCCTTCTGCACCCCAAATATCCATGCACACCCCCTGCACCCCAAATATCCATGCACCCCCTGCTGCACCCATGCACTACCCCCTGCACCCCAAACACCGCACCCCAAAAACCCATGCACCTCCTGCTGCACCCATGCACCATCCTTCTGCACCCCAAATATCCATGCACACCCCCTGCACCCCAAATATCCATGCACCCCCTGCTGCACCCATGCACTACCCCCTGCACCCCAAACACCGCACCCCAAAAACCCATGCACCTCCTGCTGCACCCATGCACCATCCTTCTGCACCCCAAATATCCATGCACACCCCCTGCACCCCAAATATCCATGCACCCCCTGCTGCACCCATGCACTACCCCCTGCACCCCAAACACCGCACCCCAAAAACCCATGCACCTCCTGCTGCACCCATGCACCATCCTTCTGCACCCCAAATATCCATGCACACCCCCTGCACCCCAAATATCCATGCACCCCCTGCTGCACCCATGCACTACCCCCTGCACCCCAAACACCGCACCCCAAAAACCCATGCACCTCCTGCTGCACCCATGCACCATCCTTCTGCACCCCAAATATCCATGCACACCCCCTGCACCCCAAATATCCATGCACCCCCTGCTGCACCCATGCACTACCCCCTGCACCCCAAACACCGCACCCCAAAAACCCATGCACCTCCTGCTGCACCCATGCACCATCCTTCTGCACCCCAAATATCCATGCACACCCCCTGCACCCCAAATATCCATGCACCCCCTGCTGCACCCATGCACTACCCCCTGCACCCCAAACACCGCACCCCAAAAACCCATGCACCTCCTGCTGCACCCATGCACCATCCTTCTGCACCCCAAATATCCATGCACACCCCCTGCACCCCAAATATCCATGCACCCCCTGCTGCACCCATGCACTACCCCCTGCACCCCAAACACCGCACCCCAAAAACCCATGCACCTCCTGCTGCACCCATGCACCATCCTTCTGCACCCCAAATATCCATGCACACCCCCTGCACCCCAAATATCCATGCACCCCCTGCTGCACCCATGCACTACCCCCTGCACCCCAAACACCGCACCCCAAAAACCCATGCACCTCCTGCTGCACCCATGCACCATCCTTCTGCACCCCAAATATCCATGCACACCCCCTGCACCCCAAATATCCATGCACCCCCTGCTGCACCCATGCACTACCCCCTGCACCCCAAACACCGCACCCCAAAAACCCATGCACCTCCTGCTGCACCCATGCACCATCCTTCTGCACCCCAAATATCCATGCACACCCCCTGCACCCCAAATATCCATGCACCCCCTGCTGCACCCATGCACTACCCCCTGCACCCCAAACACCCATGCTCTGTCCCAGCACTCCAAACACCCATGCAGCACCCTCCAGCACCCACGCACTGCCCCCCCTGCACCCTAAATACCCCTGCAGCACCCCTTTGTACCCCCCGCACACCCTAAATACCCCTGCAGCACCCCTTTGCACCCCATACACCACCCTCCAGCACCTAAACACCCACGCGCTGCCCACAGCACCCCAAGCACTGCCCACAGCACCCCTGGGCTGGCTCCCTCCAGGCCCTGCACACCCCAGCACCCCACGCGATACCTCCTAGCACCCCGAATCCTCACGCACCCCCCTGTATTCTGGGTGCCCCCCCCAAACTCCAGGGGATGCTCCAGGACGCAAAGCTGGGTGCATCCTCCCAGCTGGGTGCGAGGGAGCCCCGGGCGTGCGGGGAGGGTCCGGCGTGGGGCCCAGGTGCCGTGGGGCAGAGCAGGGAGGGTCGGTGTTGGGGGGCAGAGCCCCCCGCGACGGCTGCGCCGCCTGCCCGGGCACGGGGCAGCGCAACGGTTAAGCGCAGGAGGCTGCCGAGGAAGCGGAAATCTG